AGTTGAATAATTTAATTAAACAGTTAGCTATATAGGCAGTTCCAGCAGAACACAGCTGCATGAGCTTCACACAGTAAATGTATCCATAATTGAACATAATGTTGTAATATTTAATTAATCTATTTCCTTTTTTACTAATTTATTTTAGGTAATTACAATAGATCGATAGATGGAGCTTTATTAATCTCTTGAGAGTTCCGTTCGAGAAATTAAGCCATCTGCATTGAAACACTGTATAATTAGATGATGATTTTAGTATTGTCATAAGGATGCAAATATACACAAACATCACCTGTGTCCCGATTCATACTACAACCTGTTTCCATTCTCTGTACTTTGGATGGTTGACCCTAGGTCAGAGAAGACTCAACCACCTTCATTATAGCAACGTCTTGAGTATTCATGATTCACTGTTAGAATCTCATCTGCAAACATTAACCTTTAGTGCATTTTCTGTATTATTTATTTTTATTAAGTGCTATTATTGTTTTAGTTTTTCCTCCTCTGCATACGCCCTTAATTAGCCATGATGGCAGGAATAGACACTTCTAAAGTAAATACCAATATTGGTCGTGGGCATGGTGTCAGATTGGGGATGGGGAGGGGCCAGCAGATTGCTTCATTGTGTTTTGGTAGGGGTAGGTCCATGTCCCCTGGTGCTCTCAAGCTGATCAGTCAGGTTTTAATCATTTATTAGCTCCCACTGCCAACTCCACACCCTTTACCCAGTCTGCCCCTGAGCCTACACAAGTCGTCCCTGTTGAGGTTCTTGGGTCTTTATTCACAGATTTGGCCAAGAAAATTGGAGACACTATTTCAGCCAACCTTAGCACTGTGCAGCAGACCAATGCAGACCAGAGCCGATGTCAGCCATTTAGTGATGCCAGTTTGTCGCAGCTCAAGGTCATTGTGCAGTCAGACGTTAAAGTGCCGCCTTACTTCAGGGGTGACCACGAGTGGGAGGATATGATGACATGTTACCTCAAGAGAGTAAAATGTGATACGCCTGCTGAAATGCACGATTTAATAATGTCAAGACTGACAGGCAGAGCCAGAGATGTGGTTAAGGTGTTCCTCCGCAGTCGCGATGGACTGAGTGCATCAGATCTGCC